GGCGGTTTGTGAAACATCGTGACCGCCATCGACACCAGTCTCTGCTGTCCGTCACTCACTCATACGAAACAAGTTTTTAACACAAAATTTATAATTTTAAAAATAAATTGAGTAAACATTAATGCATATTGTTTTATATTTGAATATAAAATGTAATGATTTTCTGCAGATATTTATAGATATTGATATTTTTATCATAACTTATATATTTTGAAATAATAAATTCCTATTTAGAGTAATCAGCAAAATATCGATCATTTATAGATTTTAGAGATTAAATTTCAATAATATTAATATAAATTATATCCATTTCTAACTGAAATTGTCATTGAATTTATAATTATCTCAAACTTTACAACAAATCGATAAAAATGTCGTAAACATTTGACTTGAAGGATACTGTACACAACGTGATGAAATTAAAAAAGTAAAGTTAACAAAACTTAATATGGCATAAGTTTTAGGAAGTTTGTTGTAAATTTTATATTGTTTGGTCGGCTATTAGTTTATTTATATTTATTTCAAATTATTTAATAAAGCAGTTAACAGTATATTTACTATATTATTTTTGATAATGGGGACAATTTGATTGGCAAAAATATCAATAATATATTTGTTATATTTTTAGACAAAACATAATCTATATTTAAATGACATAATAAGTATTAAAATACATGTTATCCATGTTAAGGATATTTAAATAAGCATGCAAATACGGTATATGAATAAATCCATAGTAGTGAAATGTTTGGGTGCTTATAAATGGATTTATCAAGGTATACTTGCTCAATGCAATATTCACGTGATTTATTTTAGATAATTAAATTAATAAAAGTTAAACTAAACAAAGATTTAATTATTGTTTTGAATAAATTACACCATTTATTAATGCATTATTGATATAAAAACTCATTTATTTTAACATTGCTTTGTGTTACTAAAAGACGACCTTATGTTAAATTCTTTCAGAAAAAAATAAGAGAGAGACTTTCAAATTCCTATTTTATAATTAAAAATTTTAATTATTACCGGTATAAAGTAACTGGTCATTTACATTAATTAAATAATTTGTTTTGTTTTAATATACAGATAATAGTATTCAGTATAGTATTCCCGATGTGGTTCATAAGTGCCGTGTTTTGGCCGATAGAAGCCATTCCCAAATACTTGCATACAATCACATATTTAGCACCACTTACTCTACCCATAGAGGCGTTGAGATCAATACTATTAAGAAATTGGTCACTATTTAACGATCAGGTATTATATGGTTTTATAACAAGTATAGCCTATATCTTGATTTTGCTTTTCGGATCATTTATCATGTTTAAAAAGAATAGCATTAATTAAGGCTTTATAACATTGTATAACGAAATTGTAATCAATTGTAATCCTGTAATAATATTATTCCTAATTTAATATGAATTAAGTTATTTGTCGAAAATAAATAAAATTTAAACTTAAAGTAAGTGTTTATTTATTACATCTTAAAATAATTCATCAATTAATTATAGCAAATAAATAGCATGTATTTACTAACATTAACGGTAATTAATACTTATAAATATAGACTGAATATTTAAATAAAATTATAATTTAATATTAAAAATAACAAAATAATCCTTGATCATTAAATGGATTTAATTTGAATATATTATAACAGATTAAATATTATTTATTTAATAATCCTTTGCCAAATACATTACACCTAAATACTATAAATCTAAATTTTAAATATTTTTTCAACTAAAAATAACTTTTTCAAAGTATAAATTACAGGATATTTTTAAAAATACAGAATTTCTAATTGAATAACATTTTCAATAAAATAATAATGATTTTTATCAAAAATCTATGAAGAATTTAACCAATTTAATCGATAAAATCAATGTTTTAAATACAATCAAAAATCAACAGTTTATAAATGTGTTGAAACAATATAATTAATGAATAATTTCTATCTGTGTTTCTCATCATTAAATATCAGATGTAATTGAAATCACATTTTAACTAAATTTTTGACTTTATTTTCTCATTATCTAAACAACTAAAACATTAAACCTTTTGGTTATTAATACCTTCTAATTATTACTATAATTATAGTATATTTTTAAATCAATTAAAAGTATTGTTATCCTATACTACCCTTATTCGTCTCATATAATAATGGATATGGTGTTTACACAACAAAATTGTAGACATTATTGTTTTAATTGATTAGAAGTTATACTGAAGATCACAATAAGTTTCCATAAATCGATCGTGTTTGAAAAATGACTATTATAGCCTGGTATGTAATTGATGTAATTTATTGTAATTAAAATTTATCACTATTTGTTTTGATATGTTGGGCAAAATATGAAATAATCTATTTTTTTATTATTGCATCACCCGAATTGTGGTTAACATTACTGTGTAATCCTTGTTTATATTAATTTTACAAATTGATCTAGATGTTTATTTAAATGTAGCTATTATATATAAACAACCTGGACACTTGTAGAAGAGATTACGTCTACACACTTTATTTTGGTTTTAATTAAAGTTGCGGCACTATGTTATTTTAAGTTATGCCAAGATATTGCTTCATTTGATCGAGTCTATGGGAAATGCAGACTAGACAACACAATGTGGTTTATTATAATACATACCAATTGCACAAATGGTTTAAATCATTTACATAAGTTTATTATTAGGCTCTTTTTGGGGTCTTTCTATGGCACTTGAGCTAATTTTGTGCATTTTTGTGTATTTTATCATTTCAGCATATGAATTAATAGTTTATAAAACATTTTTAAGCATTTTTTGTTTTTAGATTTATTAACTTAATTATTCAATATTTTAAAATAAATTTCTCAATAAAGTTCAGGAAATTTTTTTATCCAATACTAAACTAATTTTAATATATTTTATATATTAATATAGTTAAGTAAATTGTGCGGGGTAGAAATATGGTCTAAATAATTGTATTACTTAAATTAAAAACAAATTTAATTCTTTAAAAAGTAATGATAATAATTACAACAATACTCTATTAATAATAGACTATTATGTAAAACACGCAAATATTGAACATTTAACGTATATTTTGTTTTTAAAAATTAATATCAAGTACAGTAAACTTGTCGTTATATTTAAACATTAAATAATGTATCGATTAAGGACTGTATTCACTAAATATCAAAGGTTTCAGAAAATTAATAATATTTTTATCAATTAAATTAATTTTTAATTTGACTTTAAGTAGAATTTCATGTTTGGCAGCGATTCCTATAATTGCCGCCAATTATGACATTCTTCGTCAGAGAAGTCACACACAGTTTTGGCCAAACATTGATCTTAAGCCACATTTAGCTCTACGAAGAGTTTATCTGAACGGAACTGAAGTGCGAGACAATCACGAGAAATGGCAAAAATGTGTGGTCAGAATAATGGCCGAGGGCAAAATCTTCTTTGGTTCGGGTTTGATAGTGGACTCTAATGGCTATATTGTGACGACCGGTGGTGTGACGAGAGGAACGGATTGGTTAGACGTTAAGTTTTCAGAAGAGAGACCTAAGAATGAACTCATTCCGGGCGAGACATCCATTACCCCGACCGACATTATTAGGGGACGAGTTGTATACATCGATCCTCTCATTGAGTTAGCGCTCATACGACTTATGCCAATCAAACCGGGAGTTTTGCAAACCTTAGAGTTCTCGGAGGATTCAGATATGAAATCTGGTCAACGAATAGTCGTATTGGGATATGCGACGATCCTCTCATTGAGTTAGCGCTCATACGACTTATGCCAATCAAACCGGGAGTTTTGCAAACCTTAGAGTTCTCGGAGGATTCAGATATGAAATCTGGTCAACGAATAGTCGTATTGGGATATGCGAGAGGTATTAAGTGTTTGATGCCGGGAACCATTAGTTGTTTAGATCAGCCATCAGTGGACACGTCGCGAGGATTTAATCGTTATTATCAATTAGTACTGAATCCAAATCGCAATTATATAACCCATACGGCAGAGCACTCCTCAGGCTTTTCGGGCGGACCCGTAATCAATATGAATGGAAAAGTGGTGGGCATTGCAGTCGTCGGAGAAAGCGGTTCACACTATGCCGTACCCGTCGATGAACTCAAGAGTATAACTAAATATAATAATCAAAACTCAAAATCTAATACTTTTTTTTTGTAAATTTATAGATTTTATTAAAAAAGGAAAGGAATTTGAGAGTAAAGAACGAGAAAATAGATATTCGTGTAAAAACCGAAAAGCATTGGGAGTTGTGTTGCAAAAGGAGGCGAACAATGGTTTCAAAGTTATTAAATTCACACGAAATAATCACTTCGAGACGTCGGGGTATGTATTCATTTGTTTTTCTCATTATTGACTAATTTATCATATATTTTGTATTAATTGTTATATTGTTATCATTAATGAAATTATTTTATTTCATTAGAAAACTGTTACCCAATGACTATATAACGCATGTGAACGGCGTTTTGTTATTGACATCAAAGCAATTGACTGACACATTGGATGATCTAAAACCGGGACAAACCATCAAATTTAAAATAAGTCGAAACCATACCGACGATACTCTTAACATTAAGTACGAAGACATTGTTGGTTTAGATTGTGAAGTCATTTAAACACTTATTAATTCAACATTTTCTCCATTATTTAAAATTTTACTAAATATGTACGAGAATTAGAAATTACATTTGAAAACAAAATTATAATTCATTAAACATTAAACTTATTTTATAATTTTTTAAAATTAATTTCAAACAATGATTTTGATTAAAATTTACGTCATTTAAAAGAAAGTTAGCATAGAAAAAGTTTTGAGTGTAGTCTTATTACAATAAGTTAAAGTAGAAAATCGCTTTAAGTTATTAATTATGGTTTATAAGTTATTACATAAATATATTTTTTAAAATATTAAAATCCCTTAATAATCTAATATGAAGATATTTGTAAAAAGCAGATTAAATTATTCTTAATTTTAATTTGACAATAACTTATGTTTATGTCCATAATGTTTTTGCTCTCACTTTTAAACAAAATTATTTGTCCATTACTTTGTAAAATAAATTGTACAGTACTACAATAACAAAACTAACTTATCATAGTACATGTAAACAAGTTGACTGTTTTGAACGCAAACACAGAATTTAGTTTAATATTGTTAATAATCTCCACAATGACAATTAAGAAGTCAATTATACAGTAATTAGCCATACGGTATGGCATACCATATACAGTAAGCCAATTATGATTGTTTGTAATCTGTGCTAAAATAATGATAAATAATCGGGAAAAATAATTAGTTTATTTGGTCACATAATTCTCTGTATTCCTGTATTTGTATGATTTGATAATCATTTGAATCAACAATCATTCTTAACATGTGATGACAGGACAGTAGGTTTTATTAAACCACTTCTTAATAATAATAACAACAACACAGGAAAACACTCGATATAAGTCAGGTAATCATGTTTTGGATGCCTTTTCAATAATATACATAAATCATTGCTCAGAAGAGAGAGAGAGAGAGAAAGAGAGAGAGAGAGAGAGAAAAAATCTAATCATTTATAGCTAAAAGCTATCATTTTTTTATTTGATTTTATAATTGAAGAATATTTGATACATTGATTTTTGCTTTAGTGCCACAGTTACAAAACAGTCAACTTGTTTACATGTACTATGATAAGTTAGTTTTGTTATTGTAGTACTGTACAATTTATTTTACAAAGTAATGGACAAATAATTTTGTTTAAAAGAGAGAAATAATATGACCGGACCGTAACATTGATCTCAATATTAGGTCTCTTCAAAAACAAGCCCATAAAGTATTCCCAATAAAATGAGAGTCAAATTCTGTTGATATTTACAAATAAATGCCAATGAATTTAAGACAATTTTGACCAGAATTTGGATTGAGATTTATTAAACAATTGAAGTATTTTATTTTGATATTAAAGTAATTTTTCAAAGAGAAATTTAAATGATAATATCAATAATTCTGATTTCTTACGATCCTTATATTATACATATAGTCACTACCGGTCAGTACTGGTAAATGTAATTGTTTTGATTTTAAACACATTATTTTGCATCAATAGACCATAGCGTAACACAACTGACCGAATGTGATCAAAAATTACTATGTAAATTTATAAATATTATCATCATGTCTCTATCAAACATTAATAAATATGAAATATATAAAACAAGAAAATTAATAATTGTGCACGATAATAATTATATAAATTATTTAATTAAGTTTATAAACGACCCAAACTATAAAACGGCAATAAAATATCCTATCATTAAATGTATAAATATGGGAAAAAAGAGTCCAATTTTTTTATCCGACAAACTCTCGGCCCCTAAAGGGGTCTTAATATTTGGTTTTTATTTGTTTTTCTCTTCAATGACTCTAAATTTCAATATGTTTTTTGTTTTAAAAAGCGTGTATTATGTGGCGGACGTACACCACTCGCAACGACATGACTACTCCGCCGCCCTATGAAGAGGGCTATCAAGAGGTGCCCACCGCTAAAGAGGGCGAAGACGAGGCCAACGGCGAGCCCACAGCCGCCACAGGTATGCGTCGGCGTCGCAACCGGTACTCCAATAACGACGCGAATCTCGTGGAACAGTACCTCCGGTACGGCATACGACCCGATTGGCTGCAAATACACCGAGTGCTCAGCCATCGGAAACAGAGGGGGAAAATCAATTATACGATTAAATGGCGCGAACTGTCGTACGAAGAGGTGACGGTGGAGTACGAGCCCGACCACTGCCCCTTCGATATTCCCGATTACGCTAAGAAAGTGCAGGACTATTGGGATCTCAGGGAACTCGTCGAAGAGGAGGGAAAGGCCGAGAAGAGGAGTCGCGAGAAGGAAGACAAACGCAAGTCCAAAGACAAGGAGTCCAAGAAGAAGGGCAACAAGAAGTACGACCCGAAGAAGAAGTGGGAGAAGCAGCCGGAGTTCATACCGGAGCCCCTGGAACTGCACCCCTACCAGTTGGAAGGCGTCAATTGGTTGCGCTATTCGTGGGCTAACAAAACCGATACCATTCTGGCCGATGAGATGGGTTTAGGAAAGACCATTCAGACCATTGTGTTTCTGTACTCGCTGTACAAAGAGGGTCACCTGAGAGGTCCGTTCCTCATAACAGCCCCTCTCTCGACAATTATCAATTGGGAGCGAGAGTTGGAGGACTGGGCGCCGGACTTCTATGTCGTGAACTACACGGGAAACAAAGACAGCCGTATTGTGATACGAGAGCACGAGTTGAGCTTCGACGCGGACGCCGTCCGGTCGGCCACCAAAGCGACCAAAATGCGTAAACACGTGACGCCTAAGTTTCACGTGTTGCTCACGTCCTACGAGTTGATTAACATGGACTCAGCCCTCTTGGGCTCAATCGACTGGAAAGTGCTGGTCGTAGACGAAGCGCATCGACTCAAGAGTAATCAGTCCCTGTTTTTCCGTACACTCAACGCCTATCACGTCGACCATAAGCTACTGTTGACCGGAACACCGCTTCAGAACAATCTCGAAGAGCTGTTCAATTTGCTGAACTTCTTGAGTCCGCACCGCTTTGAGTAAGTATTGAGTTTTGCATTGATTTGATTGACTGTTAAGTTTGAAATGTCTAAATGGTGTGTATTGTGTGGTTCCAGTGATATGGAGGGCTTCCTCAACGAGTTCGCAGACATCGCCAAAGAAGAACAGGTGAAGAAACTGCACGACATGTTGGGTCCGCATCTCTTGCGTCGACTCAAAGCCGATGTACTGAAGAACATGCCGTCGAAGAGCGAGTTCTTGGTTCGCGTCGATTTGGCGCCGCTTCAGAAGTATGTCTTTGTTTGCCATTTTGTTTGCCTTTATTTACTGATGTTTTTCTTAATTGAATAGAAAATACTATAAATTTGTTTTGACGCGAAATTTCGAGGCCCTGAACGTGAAGGGCGGCGGCAAACAGGTCTCGCTGTTGAACGTAGTGATGGACTTAAAGAAGTGCTGTAATCATCCCTATCTGTTCCCAACCGCCCAAACGGTATGAATAACCAAATTGTTGTTTTGTTTTCTATTTAACAATGAATGCTATCTTTGGCGACCGATAGGAAGCGCCCAAAACCAAGTTTGGTTACTACGAGGGCAGCGCTCTCGTCAAGTCGTGCGGGAAACTGATTTTGCTGCAGAAAATGATGCGCAAACTGAAGAACGAGGGCCATCGGGTGCTCATCTTCTCGCAGATGACACTTATGTTGGATCTGTTGGAAGACTTCTGCGAATTCGAGGGTTACAAATACGAACGCATCGACGGCTCGATTACCGGTTCCATACGTCAGGACTCTATCGATCGGTTCAACGCTCCCGGAGCTCAACAGTTTGTGTTCTTGTTGTCGACCCGAGCGGGCGGTTTGGGCATCAATTTGGCCACCGCTGACACTGTCATCATCTATGACTCCGATTGGAATCCACACAATGATATACAGGCGCTGAGCAGAGCTCACCGCATAGGACAGGCCAACAAAGTGATGATCTATCGGTTCGTCACTCGCGGCTCCGTTGAGGAGAGGATAACGCAAGTGGCGAAGAAGAAGATGATGTTAACACATCTGGTGGTGAGACCGGGAATGGGACAGAACAAGAATCAGGCGGCGATGTCTAAGCAAGAGTTGGACGACATTC